CTCTTGAGTCCTGTTCAAAAATGTCCCAGAAGCATCTAAAAGACTACGCTCATTGCTCTCGCCAAGGAAAATACAGCTTATGAAATGGAAATTCTGAGACCATTCACAGAGTGCCAGGAATGATTAAAGAAAAAGAAAAAACTATGTCCATGTCAGTACATCCAACAGTGAGGGGAAAGCACATTTATTTATCTTGCTCTCACAGAAACACGCATAACAAAGAGAAGCATCACTGTTTACCTGTTATGTGATGTTTTTGGGTAGGAAACTATCAAAGGGGAACTCCACCAGTTTTACATAAAGGTCATTTAACTCACCGTGGTGAGTACTACTCTGTGCTGCAAGCGCAAACAAATATTGTGCGCCTTTTGTGGCTCTACAGGGAAGTTTATCACTTTTGGTGTCTTTTGGTAAGTAGGGCTTTGACCAGACTTTGAAGGTATAAAAGGAATCCTCTAATGCATTTGGAGTGTTGATGAATTGACTGCTCTCTTCATTTCAAGGTTGCAGAAAAAAATGACTTTTCTTCTTGAAGCACCTTCTTGTTCTATTCATATTATTGTAACTTGAAAAACATAACAGCACGAACCACGAACTGGCAATTCAAATGAAACTTTTCAAAGTGTGTGACAGCTTCTTCTGTCACCCTCTTTGAGAAGTTTCCCTCATTGAAGTAGTCATCTTTTCCCATGTTTGAGCGATCTATGTTTGTGGCAGAACTGGTTTATTATTTATGCGGTTTCACAAAGTCTTTTTGCAGCTCAAGACAACACTGAGTGGGTTGAAGATACAAGTTTTTCTGAACCTTTGACCAGAATAGCATCCTTATTTGCTTCATTGAAGTTAATCTTTAAGTATCAACTCTGCAGGGAGCTACGGTATTTGAATGGGCCTCCAGCAGAATTAGGCCAACTGGATGAGGTCATGAGCAGACAGCTCAACATGGATCCGGCTGAGGTTAAGATTTAAACCCAGCTGTGATTCAGCTGCCGCCCTGTTATGTCTGTGCGGTCATGATCCCAAATCAATGCTAATAAAATGGATCAACCCTTCATTTTTTTTTTAAACCTCCACAAAACTGTCACGGAGCTAATTCTTCTTTGACTGGCGGGTGCTTTATTTTGTAGCGTTGTTCGAGATAGTTTTTATCGTGAGCGAAACCTGCTTCTGCCGCAGCAAAAAAGTGCTTGCACACAGTGATTCAGAAAGAGAGGAAGTTGAACAGTCTGCCGGCGAGCCAGCAGTTGTAGGCCGGTTATCAGGCCAATGTGTCACATTGGGGTGTCCAGAGGCACAGAAGAGGGAACCGAGCCGCGGCAAAGAGGCCAGTGGCAGACACAGGAAACGCTTGTCCCACATCAACTAACAGCCCTTTTCCCTCAATGCCTTTTTACACGTATCTATGGTCAATCATTTGCGCGGGATCTGTGGTATTTTAGGATGTTTTACTTTGCAGTTTTCTTTCCTTTGCCCTTTCCTTGTTCTCTGTTGGCTCTTTTTGGTCAGCGCCCGGGTTGGAGGGGGTCTGTTGGCATTCTTGCACCGTGTGCTTTGCGCTCGACCGGGCCTTGGCTCTGATCCATATCCCTTTCCACCCTCTCTCGCTTCTTTGACTCCTGCCCCTCCTCCTGTCCCTCTGCTAAACCGCCCCCCCCCCCCCTCCTCCCCCCCCCCTCCAACCCCTTCAGCTCCCCTTGATTGCTCCCCCCTAACCGCCGCTCCTGCCAGCAGCTCCTCCAACGGAGCCCCCCGCCCTCACTCGCTTTCTTTTGCTATCACCTTCCTTAATCCTTCCTCGCGTATCATGATTCACTGCGCCCTGCCTCCTTTCGGCTCTTTTCCGGGCCAAGGCCGAGGCAGCAGGTTCCGGCCTCGGTGACACAGATGCACGCAGTTGCTGTGGGCGCTCCACACGGGGAACAAAAGCAACGCCGGGGCCCTTCTGCTGCACACGCGTGTGTGTGTGAGCGAGCACGTATGTTCACACGAGAGAACGAGAAGAGAGAGAACACAGAGCAGTTACTAAATCTGGCTTCATGAGGTTGTTTAAGCCCAACTTTCATGTGATTTTTTTTTTTTTTTTTTTGTTAGTAAGCAACCAGAGAGTGCTTCTAAACTGGATCTGTCTTCATGTTCACAGTGATGTTAACCACCCACTACACCCGCCACTCGTGTTCGAGTAGATTTTTTGCCAGTACTACTGCAAATGTGAAAGCTGAACAGTTGGTCTCTCCTTTTAATTCATGCTGTTGTCGTTAAAAAGGCGGTAGTAAGTCGCCTGTCGTGAGGCAGTTAGGTTTAGATCTTCATTTTGGACTGTCAAAATATGGTGGAAGTTAAACCTTCAAATCATTGAAACATTTAATAGAAAATACCAAACAGGTGTAAGTTCCTCTGATTTGATGTAAAGATGTCACAATTAGTTTTTTCAAATGATTTCCTTTCTGGCTGGTCAGTGACATTCTTTCATCCAGTGTACTCAAAAAGTACCCAGATTCATCTCTTTGTGGAATTTACCTTTGGAACCTGCATAAAACCAAGATCACAATCACACATTTGAAAATTTTTACTTAACGATTAATTTTGAAAATTACATATGTGTCTATGTGTATATATATAATGTATTTTTTGTTATTATTATTATTATTATTTTTTACATGAATGTACAATTAATAGTGTCTGTGAAATCATCAGTTGGCTTCAGAAGGCACTGACCGAAAAAACAAAGAGACTGGAAAACATTGTATGGATATGTGGGGCATTTGTGCTCCTAAAGGTGGCTTCAATCTTCACCTGCTCCCTTCGCCCTTTTTTTTTTTTTTCTTTTTCTTTCCTTTTTTTTTAACAAGATATTTTTCTCTGTGGGCTTCTTGGAGGGAGAAATGAGATGCCTCAACACTCCACTGCCCTCCCCTCTCCACAGACTCTCCCCCACACACCTGGGATGGCCATTTCATTTCAGAGTGCAGTAAATGGAAAGGTGATCTTAATCTACCCCGTTTCCTTCTCGCTCCCCCCCCTCTCCTCTCTCTATCTCCCACACACAGTGCCTCATACCGCTGATGGACAGCGCGCTGCTGGTTGCCTGAGCCCTGCCACCGGCAGACAAAAATTCAGTGATCGAGAAAAAAAAAAAAAAACGCCTCCGCATTGGTTTATCATCTACGACGGAAACGTCTTCATTCGAGACTCGATCCCTTGTTATTATTTTCAATCTTTGAGATTTGTGATCATCGGCAGGCAGACAGGGTCCCTTTCACAGGAGCTGATACAGTTGACTCCATAGTTTTAAACATGACCTCTCCAGTAAGCTCTGTTTGGCTTATAGGGCAGCGTTGGGTTTCTCCCACTGCTGTTGATTACCTTCATCACTGCAGAGCTATGCCGTTGCCATCGATTTCCTCTGAATGGCTGTCTGCCAGCCGGTTTATTAGGACCAAGTTTCGAATCACCGCAATACCTTGATTTCGGATTTTATGCTTTTCAGAGATGTATATTTCTGATTTCGCAATGCAGGTGTGCACTTAGCACGTATAGCTATATAAAGAAAATGTCAACTTTCTTTAGGCTAAAGAGAGAAACTTTTCGACAGTTTGTCATAAGGGAAAAGCAACATTTTTATGTGCAATGTCTGTTTTGTGAAATATATTCTTTTTCTCCAGCGAGCAGAAAATGCTTTTGCAAGAATGACGGTCATCCAGAGGAAAACAAATCTCTCTTTCCGCCCCCCCCCGCCTCCTCTTTCCTCCCTCCTCAACACTTGGCTTGAGGGTGGACTGAGGTTGCAGCTCCACCCGCCAACCGTTACTATGGTAACACTATCTAGGCCTACCAAGACCTGAAGCCGAAGGACATCCTGGACAACAATACAATAGCAGCACAGCCAGGGTACCTGAGGGACTTAGACCTTGGAGGCGAAATCTGAGGAGTTGCAGATTGAAGGAGCAAATCCTCCCTCTTTCTCCACCTCGAACTCGCACACAAACGCAGCCGGGATTAGCCCTCAGCTTGAGAATCTGCAAGGACAAGGAACAATATGAGGCATTAGGTGAATTTGCGGTTACATTTCTGCAACAAGTTCTTTTTTATATGTGTCCTGTGCGGAAAAAAATCCTGCATATTGCAACATGGACACTTTTTTTGTTGTAAAATGTGATACGTGTGCAGTAATTGAATGTCCAGACATCATATACTTACAGAAAACATATTTCATTCATCACTGGCTTGGTTTTTTGTTTTTTCTTCCTCGAATAGTAGTGGTCGTGATGGCCCCTTTGCTGCTGACTGCAAAGAGTGGGCCGCAAGTCCTGCTGCTGGTGCCAGCAGCGGAGAGTAATGGAGATGTTTAGAGTCTATTTGCCTTGCTTGCATTCCTCCATGTAGTGCTGCTAAAATAATAAGAGGGAGGGTTACCTCAGGTCGGCCCCAGCTGAGGGGATACGGAACACGCATTGTTGTCATTGGCTCCATCTGAGTATCCCTCTTAAAGCCACAGCGCGCTGCTGAGGAAACGGGCACTGCTGCCCGCCGTACGGATGGGCTCTGGCAAGGGAGTGTGCGTGTGTGAAAGTGTCCTGCTGTGGTATCAGTTGACGTCTCCAAACTTGCGACTGACGCTGTACATGACTCTGGTGAAAATCGTTTCGCGTTTTCAAGTGATTTCTGCTACTTTTTCCCCTCTATTAGCAGGCGGATGAAAAGAGTCCGTGCTGTGCTGATGCCTTTGCCGCCGAGTATTGTGAAAGCTGGTGTTTGTGTTGCATTGTCGTCTTAAGAGGATTGCATTCTGTGTTATTAAGTGAGCCTCGCAGCAGCCCACCAGGATGAATGAAAATGATTAAAACAGAGTAACGCTTGGCAATGACTGAGTTTCCACAATCCGTGTGCATCTTTTGCCCGTCAGCTTCTGATTATTTGAAAACACAAATTCATGTCTACTTTAATTATTTATTTTTTTTATCCGTCAGTGGGTGAAAGCACAACATTGTAGTTGTCTGTGTGTGGAAAAAAAACTGAACTGTGGGACTTGCTTAGTCATGCTAAAAACACCCGTCTTACACCTCCTCTGTGTTCCTTCACAGGCAGCCTAAGAAACAGGATGTTAATGCTTGACGGAATGCCTGCAGTCCGAGTCAAAGCTGAGCCCCTGGAATCGGAACAAGGGGTAAGAGAGCAGTTGTTTTCCAGACAATTCCTTCTTTTCTTTTCTTTTTTCTTTTTCCCCAGCTTTCCTTTCCTTCTATCCTCCTCTTGGCAATGGGCTGATAATCACTAACAGGCCAAAGCAAGTGAGTGACTGAGAGAGTGAGTGTGGGGGCTAAGAGGAGTGGTTGGAGAGCATGGTAGTAAGCAGAAAGAAGGGAAGAGCGGCGGAGAGGAGGAGAGCCACAGCTGGAGGAGGAATGCAGTGGGGTCTTTTGGGGAGGTGACTGGGGCCAGCAGAGTCCATGCTGGCTGGGGATGGTTGCACAGATGTAGACGCCGCTCTGGGGAGGATGGTTTCATGGGAAACCCTAAATCATATACGTCTCCGTCTGCTTGTGCATCTATGCGTCCCTGGTTGTCCCTTCAAAAAACTGACAAAGACACACACTCGCACATACGAGAGAACACACCATGGCAACGCACAATGTTGCACTCTTCCTCTCTGAGCACTGTAATGGTTTAATCTCTTCCTTCAATGGATGATATGTGTGCTGCGTCCCACTCACAGGGGTCTGTTTCTGTCACTCAGAACAGCTTGGTCTCACAGGAGGCCTTCGTCACAACTAGCTTTGAAAGTGCTGTTAATTGTCCACCTGCAACGTTCAACCTTTGATCAGTTGGTTTTCCACAAAACGCCAAAATGGTGCATGGAGGTTTGTAAAATCTTTAAAAAAATCTGTGCTATTGGAGCACTTTGACAGTGTTGTTGTTTTTTTGCTCAAAGTCTAATCTATATAGCATGCTTAGCCTTTTTTTTAGACTGAAATGATTTAACGACGAACAACATTAAAGCCTCAAGTGTATGTCGCAACTTCCTTTTGCAACAATTACCAAAACGTTTCCTGTTACTGTTTATCGGTCCCGTCCACCAGCTTGGAAGAATTTCTGCCCATTCCTCTTTACAGTACAGCTTCAACTCTCTCCAGATGTTGCTAGGTTTTTCTCACATGAACTGATTGCTTCAGGTACTTCCACAACACTTCTGTTGGATTTTAGGTCAGGGCCTTTTTTGGATCATTCCAAAACATGAACTATGCTCTTCTTTAACATATTCTGTAGAATGACTAACCCGGACCATTTCTGATAAGGTTCAGTTTGCAAACAGATCCCCTGACATCTCCTCCTGTCCCATTTTGTTATCTGGGTAGAGAATCAACAAAACAGGCCCCAACCATGATAGTACCTTCACCTTTCACAGATTGCGTTATGTTTATGAGGCACTTCTTGTTCAAATCAAAAACTTATTTTTTGGAATGCTCTCAACTTTCCAGCTTTCATATTTCTGGAAATCTTTTCGGAGGGCTATTGTTTGATTTTTTTTGGGCCTTGTGTTCATTTAAACTCGATGCATTGTCCATTCCATATTTGAAAAAAGGCATCTCATTCAAGGTTAGCATGGCAAACATACAGTATCAGGGATTGGCGGTCTGATGTACCGAGAAACAAAGTGGTCTTGTTATGGTGAAGCTGTTGCTAGGTTACAAGGGCTCGGTGGCTTTGGATGCTGCCACAGTTGTGAGCAGTGAATGCAGGCTACCTAATGTTTGTAATCATGATGAGCTGGTGCTCAGTTATTATTGATTCTCATTCATATTCTAACAATGATATTTTTTTTACCCCAAATTCATCAACTTAAACATTTTGTGGGAGAACAGCCCAGAAGTTTCTGTCGAGGTGAACCTGAGAGCATTAACCTGTGAGGGATGAGAAAAACACCCGCATCTGATAACCCATAAGGTTATCGCTGTTCTTAAAGAAAATTGTTTGCCTGTGGATGGTGCTCCGTGTTGATAAAGATTGAATCCGTCTCGGCACATCTAAGACCTAGACGGAGAAGGGGGCAGGTGGGGTAGCTCTCTGGGTGTTCCGCCCTCAGCTGTTGCTCAAGGATTTGGGAGCTGAGCTCTTGCGTTGCTACCATATACCTGGGGTTCAAAAATCCTTCCCCACGTAGTGATGTCAGTCACAGACAGGATGTGAGTGCTGCAGCCCACACAGCTTTGATGTGCACTGAGATCCAATCTCGCCCCTAACAGACTGAGCTTCCCTTTAGATGGCAGAAGGCAGACAGACAGTTTAGACTGCCGCTGCAATGTGGTCTTCATTTGGGTGGCGCGGGGCCAAGGGCTTGCTGGAAATGGTCTGCCTCGTTAGACAATTCGCCTGCAAGGGGCTGGAAAATCTGCCCCGCAAACCAGTATCCCCTAATAAAGACAATGCATGAGAACGGAGGCACGCAGGCGGGGTCGAGCGTATCTTTATGTGTGTGTCAGCGCAGATGAATGTGTGTGGGACCGGGGCGCTTACACGTGTTTGTATCTGTCAAAACAAAAGTGGAGGTGGCTCAAGTTTTTTTCCGTTTCTGCTCGATGAGAGTTGTTTGAAACCCTGACCTCAAAATGCAACAGTTACTGGTTTGCATTTTTGCATAACACCATACCTCTGTTGTTTTGATCCTCCTCATAGGTTTGACACAGGAGCCAGAGGACATAGGTCATTTTGAACAGGATGTCAGTTTTTGATAACTGTATGATCATATTATTAACACCAAACTGAGCCAAAAACCCTAAAAAACCGTATAAAAAACCCTATAAAGATATAGGATGTTAATTTTGAAAATACTAGAATTTCTATACGGAAACAGTTTAACACTGTCTTATTTGGACAGTATTGCTATCGTTTTTTTTCATGGAATCAAGTTGAATTTTAACTGTGCTTCCACTGCATCACTTCATGTTAGACAGAGATAGCAAACAGCCTGTAACCCTGTGTTTAATGTTTCCAACTATGGTTATTGCAAAATGTTTTTCATTTATCGGGGTCTTTTGGTTTATGATTAACTAACACAGTTGTTTGTTTTTTCATTTTGTGATGTTTAAAGAAGCTAACGTAGAATGTATTTTATTCTTCCACTTTCAAATGATCAATTCAACAAGTATAAAACCTTTTTATATATATATATTTAACTTTACTTGAATGCACTCCCCCTGTTTGTCTCCCCCTCACTTTTTCTGTTTTCTTTCTTTATTGTTTAAGTTTCATACATCTGTTTTCATCTGTTTGGCTGATGTGTTTTGGAGAAGAATTCAAGATGTTTGGGGCTCTGTCTCATGCATTTTATTATTTGGAACTTTTCAGGTTAATCGCATTTCAGCTACTTTCCTGCATTCCTGAATGTTGATTCACAGTCACTTAGAGGAGAACTTGATGGTATCAACACAGCACAGACACAACTAGTTGCACCTGATATATTCCAATTATTAAATAGAAACAGATACTGAATAAATATTAGGCCTTTTTGGCATTAAACATTTATCATTTTTGGCCCAAAGTGGGCTCTGGTTCATAACAGTTCAAGGGGTATTCTTGCTAACCTAATGGTATTGCATCAGTTTTCTAATGTAACTGCAAATTGATGCACGTGTGATTGAACCAGAATACGTTTTTTATCACTCAGGTAATACCACTTTACATTGATGGCATGTTTCGTGTCTTGTGGTTCATAAATGCTTTTTAGTTATTAATGAACTGAATAGCTACAGAGGAACAAATTGTTCTGCCTTTTTTGGAAGATTGCAACATAATCTGATTATGCTTGTAATGCAAGGAAAGAAACACACAAGTTGTAGGTCAACTTCTGGCCATTTTGGTATTAAACTACTGCTCGATAGCTTTGTTGATGGTAACCTAACATGATATACTATTCTCAAGTTCAATTTTCACATTCAGCCATGTCACAGTTTGTCTGAAGGAAAGCACTATTTGCTCCAAGGATGATAAAATAGCAGAAATCAAGGGAGCACACAAAGCATAGCAAAAAAAAAAGAGTCCAAATTAGAGGTCGGGGTCAAACAACACATAAGAAAACTAACAAGGGAAGCAGAGGCACAAAGAGCTAAATTAATAGGAAACACTCAATATACAAACAAAGAGCGGCGAGAGAGAGATGAACTACAGAGAATGTGAAGTTCTTACCATGAACAAATAAACAAGGGAGTACATGTCAAGTGAGCAGTGAGCTCATAGTACACGTACAGGGTGAATTTATTGGAAACAGGTAGAATGTTCGAGCGAGGTTTGCAGCAGTACAATGCAGGGTGAACGAAGACAGCGTATTTCAAACCATTAAAAAAACGACATAACAGACGTGCATTTGCCAAAGCTGCAAAGATAGCTCAGTCAGTCGGTCTAAGACTTGGCAGAAATCTGTTCAGCTAATCAGAACGTATTGTTTAACAGTAGTCAGATTACTATTGTACTTGGCTCTAGATGTATTTTCACATTTTTGACCGTGAAGCAAAAACTGTCAGTACCGCATAACTTAAGCGGTCAACCACACCCACTTAGTGAGAAAGGCAATATTTCCATAACATTGAGATTAGCATGAGTGGATCTAATAAAGATTTCAGGCAGAAGAGCTCCAGGCAGACTGTGACACACAGTTGCAATACAGAAAATGCAAACACTGAGAAATCATGTGGAAATGCAGTTAGATGGCGACCGGAGGCTCTTTTGACTAACAAAGACTACATTTGGAGTTGTCTGCTATTCAGTTTCAAATGTAAAACCATGATTTAATCACCAGGCAGTGCTTGGACTATTTGATCCTCTGATCTATTGATGAAATCCAGCATCAGGTAGGTTCAAAAGAAACTGATGATATGGATTTATTAGAAGCAATTCCGTACTGTGGTTATGGACTACAGAGAATGGGCTTCTCGACAGTATGACAACCCTTCTCACTTTGTAGATTTATATCAACAATCATGTTATGGATATTGTCTCACACGAATTCCACAATACATGCTGGATTTAATTTAAGTCGTTGTCCACACTATTAAGTGCATAAATGGTACCTTAAGGTTGCCTCTACCCCAAGTAAATTAGAATTAAGTTAATGAATTAGGTTTATTTGGGAATACGTACGGGGTATTATGTAATGGAGCAACAACAAAAACGCAGGTGACTTACACTGTGCCCCGTGACACCCCATGTACACACACCACTGAAGTTTCTCCCTAAAATATGCCTGTGTGAGAGGGGAAAGAATACTGCACCACAAAAACCAAGCATTTTGTTTTTTCATTCAGGGCAATAAAAAAAAGAATCAGCTGATAGACATCAGCTGCCTCATTCATACTTCAGCCTTCAGTGGCTCATTCATTAGCTGTTTGCTTCCAATTGACTATTAAACTTCAACCAAATAGGTCCTGGGGCTGACCTTTTAACCAGATTGCTATTGTTCCACTGACACTCTTTCACCGTTTTCCATTCGCAGCACTTTCAGACTACTCTTATTGATGCTCTTACTTTTACCTCTGGTTGATCTAATTACCAATTCTGTCTTTATTAAGGGCAGTTAGTTTTCCTTGTACAGCCTTCATTGTTCCACTGATTCTCTGAGAATGACCTCAGTTAGGAAGAGTCTTCTTTTCTTATTATAACTTAATAACTATTGACTATAAATGGTCGTCCCCCTCCAGGGAGGCTTCCGACAATATTGCTCTGTTAAGGAAAAGTTAACCTGAAAGTTTCTTCATCACAGGAGAAGGAGAATGTTGTCAGTTTAGCCCAAAAAAGGCTGAGACCAAGCATTTTTTTAATATGAGTAGCCCACTGATATTGTGTCCTGCATAAAAAGCCTTTATCAAGCCACTTAAAACGTTTCCCCCAAAGAGTAGTTGTACACATAAACTGCTAGGAAGCCTGTTACAAAAACACAGGGTGGGTGGTAAATATGAACCAGACCATAATATACTGCGATTCTTGACTTGACACCGGTGCCCTTGAGCTGAACCCTACTAAGGTCTAGAGGCCATTCGAGGATCAGAGGGCATATTTCACAGGGCATGTTTAGTTTTCCAACTTAGGAGGAGTTCTTGCTCCGAGAAGATTATTTTTCTTTCTTTCTTTCCTTTTTTTTCTCGTGAATTCAAGGGGTCGTAGCATTTCCTGTAGGCTAAGTAACTATTGTACTAACTCAGAGTAAAAATAGTAAGCTATCACATAAAACAACACTCATGTAGACTGTCAGAAAAAATGCGTATTTCACCATAAATCAAGTTCCTGCCTTACATAATGAGGAAAAGATTTGAGTCCGCAAAGACAAAAGACAAAGATCCACAGTGCTGAAAGTTTTATGCTTGGGATGCAGTTGTCATTGGAAAGTTTTGAAAAATGTTTTGTAAAAATCCTGGTTCTTCCTTCCTGGTGGCTTGAAGTGGGTCTCCGCTTAAAGCCGCCAATGTGAAGTTCAACAGGGCAGAAAAACCCCTCTCTAAATGGAAAAAACTGGCCTGAGATCAGCTCATATAACTTGGGAGATTTGACGTTTTAACAAATACTCTGATAGCAGAAAAAGGAGATGAAGTTTGGGAGTATACGGAGACAGATAGTAGCGGGGAGGGCATCGCTTTTTTTCTACCGTGCGCACTTTTCTATTATCTCCTCCGCACAAACACGTCCCTGAAACCTGCAGACAGACGGAGCGGTTGTGTTACAGTCTGCTCGGTGTTAAGTGAAAGACGTGTGGAGGGATGCACTAAGCCACCAGCGTTGGCCTTAGGAGGCCCATCGCTGAGAGACGGAGGGAGACGGTCAGGAAATTGAGCCCATATGATGTTTTTCCACAGTCACAAAAGGAGATTTAGGAGAGATACACTGGGAGCAGAGCGAGCTGCGTTTGAGTGGGAGTCATGGAAAATGGGAGGGAAAGGGAGAGCGCGGCCCACGCCAAGAGAAAAGAAAGAAAAAAGTGGAAGAAGGCGTGTGTGAGAGATACTATCTGTACTTCTGCATTTCACGCAGCATCGTTCTAACACAGAATGAGCTGAAGGCTTGAATGAATGCCTCCTTCATCTCAAATAAATGTCGCTGCATTTACATGTCTGACTTCTCTTCAACATTATCACCTCTGAAAGTCTACACAAGTAGTCACATTTGCTCTTAATTACTTATTGTATCAATTTTCTGGCCTTTTTCGGCAAGTGAGACATCAGATTCCAGCCTATTTTATGCGTGTGTTTGTTGTTTTCTGCTGTGTGTCAAAGGTTAATGCATTTTGTGGCGCTGCATAAATTCCAACATGGCTGTCTCTTTTCCTCCCACAGTCACCGAAAGTGCGCCCTTACTCTGCGATGGACAGCGTCCCCTTCTTCCTCAGCAGAGTCAAACCCGAACCCCCCGAGGACCTGCTCGCTCACGACCTCCACTTCCACACGCAGACTGAGCCTGTGGACCTGTCGATCAACAAGCCCCGCCCCTCCTCCCTGACCGCCACCGCCATCACCACCTCGTCGTCGTCCCCCCTCAGATCCGCCTTCTCCCCGTCCTCGTTGTCGTCGTCATCCTCCTCCTCTCCGTCGGTCATCACCTCGGCCCCGTCGGTGCTCACGCCAGGCCCCCTGGTCGCCCCTGGCAGCGGGGTGAGGGGACAGCCATATTTGCACATCCTGCAGTCCGTGCCGCCGCCTCCGTCCAGCCCCCTGAGCCTGCAGGGACCGGGGAAATTGGCCAGCCACGTCCACCGCATCCCCGTGGTGGTCCAGTCCCTGCCCCTCATGTACACCACGGCCATGCGGTCGCCCTCCAGTCTCAACAGTGCTATCATGCTACCTCTGATGGAAGAGGCCAAAAGCCAGGGCAAAGGTGAGACTGCGCTCGCGGAGTTACGTATTCCTAAGACCCGCTTTGTTCTTTTGAATTTTCTTTTGAATTTCGTTCATTTTACAGTAAACTTGTTTCTCCAGCAACAAAACCATATTAAAGACAAGATGTTTTTTTCCTTAACATCATGATTATTTTTATGGTTATGGCCCTTAAGAGGCCCTTTAAGTTGCACACACAAACAAATATAGACAAATGACTAGAAATCCAAAATCTCACATTGCATAATTGCAAAATATCCAAACTGCTTCTTGGTTTCACTTTAGAATTAGAATTACAATTGGATTAGTCTATATGAACTGGCCCTTTTAGTTGCACACACTTTCAATAATATAGAAAATACATACAGAGAAATGACTAGAAATCCAAAATCTCACATCACGTAATTGCTACACATCCAAACTGTGTCTTGGAATCAGTTTAGAATCAGAATTAGAATTGGATTAGTCCATATGAAATGGCTCAGACTTAATGTTGGCGCACATAGGCATTGAGTAGCATAGCATGTTAGATGAGATATCCCAAACACAAGCTATGTAGGGTATTTTACCGTCCACTCAGATGTGTTTGTAGATTTATTGCTGTCAAGATTGGCGTTTTTTCAGAATGGCTCATTGCATGCAAAAATGTTTTGCCTTCAAATAAGTGCCTAACCCATTTTTAATAGCCCACAGTGAATTTTCCTTTCCTTCCATCGAGGAGCAAATACCTCGGGTAGTTTGAGCATTAGACTTCTATGCCGTTGGAGCATTAGACTTCTATGCCGTTGCCTTGAGTGTGTTATTGGTTTTCTCTCTGGGTGTGGTTTTACTGCCAACCACTGGTGGCAAGCCTACAGTAGGTGTTTCTTTCCAAGTCTGAGCCGTACACAGGGCAACTGTTGGTTGTAAAAGAGGTCGCTTCTTGTCACTCCCTGGAGAACGGATGGACACATTTAGACTCGCGCTCACACCCATGTATGTACTGTACATAGAGGCGAACAACAAAGATGTGTAATTACAGCGTGTGCTCAGACAGACACTTGGCTGGCTGGGTGTGGTGGTCCCTCAGAGATGGGCATTTTAAATGCCGGCGATCTGCTCCCGAGGAGAGGAAAGAGGAAAGAGGGAAGGATAAGGAAAACAGAACTTGCATAAGAGGGTGGGGCTGGATGTTGGAGACGGGTGGCACTTAAACAAACACACGCACGGTCCAGCATCAGCTCTGCCCACTTCTGGTGCCAACAAACACAAAGCAAATAGGGGGAATAAACGCAGTGTGTTGGGCGTGCTGGATACATTTGCTCGTAAAAAGAAACCAACAAACAAACAAAGAATATTTTTTGCTATTGTTTATGTCACTGAAAGTGATGTTTAAGAAAATATCCATTTCCTTCGACTGGTATTTCCCCCCAAAAGAATTGTAACGTAAGATTTGATATTTTTCTTGTGTTCGTGTCTGAGATGTTTTTTTTGGCCCTACTTTGATTTGAGCTTTTTCAAGGGTCAATATTGGTCGGTTTCATTATAAACATTCGGACATTATAAAGTAATCCTTTTCTTCCATTGAGAAGTTTAATGTTATGAGTTCTTTTTACGCATCATACAAATGCTCAAAGCCCCTATCTGGTGCGCGCACACCCACACACGCACGCACACACACACACACCCACACTCTCTCACACACACAAACAGGTTAGCCATCCTCTTTAAGAGAGGGTGGGCACCCTTTCTTTCAATGCTGTCTCCCTGTCTCCGGCAAGAGGTTGCCATGGAAACAGGGCTTGACTGGAAACAACAGAGAAAGAAAGAAATCCGGTGCTCTGCCCACCTCTCCGCTCCTCCTTTTTGTCCCTTGTTCAAAATACCCCCTTTTTCCCGACACGCGATGCATTTCAGACTAATTGCAGGTTTTCCACGTGGCTGCTGACCACTCTGCATGTCCTCTCCTCCGACAACAGCAGAAACATTTAAAAGCAAAAGTCCAACCGAGTTCGAGCATTATTTCTGCGCCACCCCCCTCTCCTTTCCCTTCAGTAATAACACCATGTCTGCTCCAAACTCAAGACCATTATTACAGACCATTATGGCCACAGTCTCAGCTGAGAGGGCAGAGGAGGTGAGGTCCTGATAGCTTGTAAAAGCTCCAGGCTTACAGTAGACATGGATGTAGCAGACCTCAGAGGAGAGCGCCGCATATCTCCATTTATAATGTGTCGCCGAGGATTTTGTCCTCGCAAATAAGCACAAATTTGAAAAATATGTCGATTCGGTGGAATATCTTTTAAAGGAATTCTGCTGTGAATGGGTAAAGAATTATACAAACGATGATCATGTTGTAGATTTTTTTTTTTTTTTTACTTTTCACCTAAAAAGTACTCACCGGCAGGTCAAATAGGTAATTATGATAATTATAATAATTATCATCGTCGTTATTCTTGACAGTCGTTTCTTGACATATCCAGAGTGTTTCTCTGTTTGTGTCCATGGAGACAACATGAACGGAACGGCTGCAGGCTCCGACAGTTTGTCTGACGAATTGTCCAAGGAAGCGACAAGTTGTCACAACTTGAAGCATAAATGTAACGTCCTTGTTTAAATCAAGAAAAATCAAGTCACGCCTCAGAGGGCATGCACGCCATGTTCATGCTTTTGCTATGGTGCGAAAACTGGTAAAGTTGGGGAAAATTGAAAATTTCGCCTCCATCAGTGGGCGTTCTGTGAAACCACTGTGCAAACGCCACTCTTTATGTGAATATTATTCACTGTCTGCAGCTGTCTGGAGGAAAAAGGTGCTCAGCAGTGCGACTTACACATAAACGTGTGCTCTTAGGCTATGGCCATACGTTGAGTAATCAAAGAAACACCCACAGCAGCAAGCTCACTTAGTGTTTCCACAACAGCAACAGCCAAACAGTGCTCCACCCAGCTTCTTATCTCTGAGGCTGGAGGCTGATATAGATTATGTGTGTGCGTGTGTGTGTGTTTGTCCATTCGCATGCTCTCATTTTTGCCCTGTGAACACGCAGCCTCTGGGTTCAGAGGGACAGTTGACTGCTCAGTCCCGGGGTAGGGCATTTTTCTATTTGTCTGACAGCGGACCGAAAATCCCAGCAGTGGGGACATTTTTAAAACACACATCCAACACCACAGAACACGCAAACAAAATGCTAAAGCGTTTGCCCCAAACTACAACAGTAAAAATATGAACCGCGTGGAGCGGTTTGGATGAAACGAGGGAGATTGGTTTCGCTACAGTTTGGGAGACTCTCCAGCACGCATAATGTGATACGCCTTATACGTTTACAGCTCCGGTGTCATGTTTCTGACTCCTGTATCCGTGTCCCGTCGTCGCAGTGCTCACAGACCCCAATGGCCTGTCGCCGAGGCAGATCAAAAGTGACAGTGATGACGACGACCTGCCAAACGTGACCCTGGATAGCGTTAACGAAACCGGCTCCACGGCGCTCTCTATAGCCCGCGCTGTACAAGAGTGAGTATCTGGATTTTGTTTTTTCCCCCCACTTTTCAAGCATCTCATCTCAACATATGCAAATCTCTGTCCGTGTCTGGAAGTTACTTTCAGTGTGGAGTAACAAGTCATAAGAGCACGATAGGCTCAGACGGGGACTGCAGGCATCAGCTCAGACATGCTTCTTACACACACATTGTTCGGGGAGGACATTTGAGCCCGTGTATTATCCAAAGACTATAGCACCGCCACTTCTGGGTGCATAGGGCTGTGACATGTACCTTGTTGTTGCTCAGCAACCAAATCGAAACAGTAAAGAATAAAAAACAAAATTAAAATGAAAGGATTATCACTGTATATTCTTACAGGACACTTTTTCAGGGTAGGTCCATCATGTCAATTTGTTTTTAAGCGGATATTACACCATCATGTAGTATGTACAGATATCTGCATTGACATGTTTAATTCATTTGAATAAACTGTCAAAGGCGCCAAATTGACTGAATGAACTTGGATGTGTCTTGACAGGAGAATTCTTAAAGCAAAAGACAGGCACCACTGCTTAATGTCATACCTTCTTTAACAATATATCCAACAATAGATTTTGTGTCCAAAGCAAGAAAGATTGTGTGATCCAAAAGTTCTTTGGAGTGGAAAAATGTGAGCACCATGTGATCATTCAGGTGGGACAAATTTTTGGATGAATTTAGTTAGTTTTTTCCTACGCTGGAAAGATGAACATGAGTAACTAATCTCAATATGAAAATCATCTAGTCTCACCTTGTGACTGATAACCTGCATTCCTTTTTAAATGTTTTTTCACCAAACACCAAGATTAAAAAGACAATCTCCAAATGAAATGATACTGAGTTAAACCAGACAAAAAAAAACACGTGGGGCATTTATTTTTCACCATGACAAACTTATCTTGTATGTTTTGTTGCACATTGGCTGAGGGGCATTATCTTAGCCTAACCCCATATATTAATTCTTCATGTCACATTATTTGGCCTCATAGTGTTCTCATAGTGTTTCTGGAAAAGCCAATCAAAGTTAGATTATTCTTTAGCTTGTAACTCTGTCAGGCAACTTTGACAACTAAGCTACCTGTTTCAAAGAAGAAGAGAGTAGTTGAAAATTGCTCTCAGATCATTTCCTTAACAACATGAATGAGAACAGTGTGAGCATCTACTATAAAACTAAGATTTACAATAGATTAGACTAATGTGTGATTTCCCTTTCTTCTTTTTTTTCTTTGATAACACATTTGGATGCATGCGTGTGGGTGTGCATCTACACTATATTGCCAAAAGTATTTGCTCACCTGCCTTGACTCACATATGAGCTTAAGTGACATCCCGTTCCTAATCCATAGGGTTCAATATGACGTCGGTCCACCCTTTGCAGCTAGAACAGCTTCAACTCTTCTGGGAAGGCTGTCCACAAGGTTTAGGAGTGTGTTTATGGGAATTTTTGACCATTCTTCCAGAAGCGCATTTGTGAGGTCGCACACTGATGTTGGACGAGAAGGCCTGGCTCTCAGTCTCCGCTCTAATTCATCCCAAAGGTGTTCTATCGGGTTGAGGTCAGGACTCTGTGCAGGCCAGTCAAGTTCATCCACACCAGACTCTGTCATCCATGTCTTTATGGACCTTGCTTTGTGCACTGGTGCACAGTCATGTTGGAAGAGGAAGGGGCCAGCTCCAAACTGTTCCCACAAAGTTGGGAGCATGGAATTGTCCAAAATGTCTTGGTATGCTGAAGCATTCAGAGTTCCTTTCACTGGAACTAAGGGGCCAAGCCCAGCTCCTGAAAAACAACCCCACACCATAATCCCCCCTCCACCAAACTTTACACTTGGCACAATGCAGTCAGACAAGTACCGTTCTCCTGGCAACCGCCAAACCCAGACCCGTCCATCAGATTGCCAGATGGAGAAGCGCGATTCGTCACTCCAGAGAACGCGTCTCCACTGCTCTAGAGTCCAGTGGCGGCGTGCTTTACACCACCGCATCCGACGCTTTGCATTGCACTTGGTGATGTATGGCTTGGATGCAGCTGCTCGACCATGGAAACCCATTCCATGAAGCTCTCTGCGCACTGTTCTTGAGCTAATCTGAAGGCCACATGAAGTTTGGAGGTCTGTAGTGATTGACTCTGCAGAAAGTTGGCGACCTCTTCGCACTATGCGCGTCAGCATCCGCTGACCCCGCTCCGTCAGTTTACGTGGCCTACCACTTCGTGGCTGAGTTGCTGTCGTTCCCAAACACTTCCATTTTCTTATAATACAGCTGACAGTTGACTGTGGAATATTTAGGAGCGAGGAAATTTCACGACTGGATTTGTTGCACAGGTGGCATCCTATCACAGTTCCACGCTGGAATTCACTGAGCTCCTGAGAGCGACCCATTCTTTCACAAATGTTTGTAAAAACAGTCTGCATGCCTAGGTGCTTGAATTTATACACCTGTGGCCATGGAAGTGATTGGAACACCTGATTCCGATAATTTGGATGGGTGAGCAAATACTTTTGGCAATATAGTGTATATGCCTGTATGCATATGGCTCAGACATACTTTATGCCCTGTTCGGCCTGCAGACATTAGCTCCCGTGGTGCCAGCCCATCTGTGTTGAAACGAAAAAGACTTCCTTCCTCTCCAGCGGATGACAGCTTATAGTATTCCGATCAGCGCCAGGAAATCAAACGCAGGGAAGCGTTTTTGGTTCTACCCTGCCCTCCCTCACTGCTGCCCATCAACCCCAAAAAAGTCACACTATCCGACTTCAGACTCACCTCGACACTCATGAGCTATTGAATGCAGACTAAATCCTTGGGAAAAAAAGGAGAGGGAAAAAAAATATTGCATTAACGTGGGAGAATCCTACTAATGATGCATGTATCATTAGTGAGGCTGATCCAGAAGCCCAGCTAAAACTCCAGGTTACAGAGCTGATATTGTGTACAAGACATTGTATGGTTTGTTTGGACACCAGTAGCAGCGGGAACCTCCACACTAATTAGACGTAATGGTGTTTTTAATGGTTAAAAAAGACGCCGCCGTTCCTTTTCTCTCAAGTTGGAAGTTGCCGTGCGATGCGCTTGCAGGAGGATTCGGGTTTCAGAGCGGGGTTATTGAAAGGGACAGGCGTGCCCCCTGAGTGCCACACGTGGGCACTGGGTGGTCAGAGGAGAACAGAGGTTGGCAGGACCCAACCTCTCGCTGCCCAAGCTTTCACTATGGAGATAAATCACCAGCCGGGCTCAGCGATAGCCTGCCAGGGCCTGCCCACACACTCACTCCACTGTGTGCAAAGTGCAGACTGAGCTGTGTAGAAAAACTGTGTTCCTGCGCGTGTAAGTGTGTGTGTGTGTGTCCAAAACGATGCCTGCACATTTGTAAGTATCAATGTAAGTGTGTGTGTGTGCGTCCTGCACGTGTTTCTGCACAGTGGACGGAACAGCTGGTTCCAGGGGGAGGTCGGCCATTGTCAACAGGAACACGGACTGGAGTGTTTGTCTGCGGAAAAACAAAGCGGTCCGTAGTCTTCTTGAGTTACACGAGTGGAAGAATGCGTGTTCTGTATTGACAGACCCACATGCGCTCGGCGGACATCTGCACTGCAACAGAAGCCGACGTATCGGTCCTGTATTCCTTTTCCTTTTGCACGCCGCGTAAACGGCGAGAGCAGAAAGGACGGCTTCATTTAATTTGGCAGCACATTTGCACAGGCAGTCATCCGGGGAGCATCAAGGGAGGAGAGGTGTAAGGGTGGAGGATGGGAGTGCCTGCAGCCTCCAATCCAGGTATCCATATATAAATAAATGAGTGAAAGGAGAGAGTTAGGGTGTGTGTGTGTGTGTGTGTGTGTGTGTGTATCATGTGCTTCTTGGGCAGCCTCCTCCATATTCATGCGTTTCCCTGGGGACGGGCGGATAGGCTATTGTGGGAGAGTGTTGGTGAAAGAGACTAAGACAGAGGTGTGTGTGTGTTTTAGTGTGTGTGTTAGTGTGTGTGTTAGTGTGTGTGCTAGGGGGCAGGAGCCTGTGTTGGAAAGGGTTGTGTCTGCTGAAGTCTGGCCGGTCCCCAAGGACCTGGGGGGGGGGGTCACAGAGCAGAGCAGGTGGAGGGGTGAGTTTGGGGCTAGTATCCTCAGACAGGTACAGGAATGCCCACCGGCCAGACTTCCAGCACACACACACACACACACACACACACACACACAGTCGCACGCTCCTTTTCCTGTTTTCCTGATAGTTCCACGGGTGTGTTGCAGCAGCGGGCAGCGCCGCTGGTCAGTTGAGGCCCCGGCCGCCCGTGAGAATTCACGAAAAATAAGTGTTGTTTTTGTGTTGTGAGAAAAACCCGGATACAGGTGACACATCCACTCCCACTGCTCCCAGGAATTTTTCCTTTTTTGTTGTTGTCGTTTTGCGTGTCTGGAGACGAAGAAAGGGGGGTAAAAAAAAATGGGGAAGTAAATGAACTAAAACAGAGGTCAGCTATGTTTGAAATTGTTCTCAGCTGTACTTCCTATTTCTCTCTGCTACTTGGGAAGTCGCACAGGCGCGTTCGTAGTCTGCCCCCGAGCTCTCATGAGAAAAATACAACAATGTCGCTGTTATGGAAACCCTTAAATTGAATTTATCAATTGTGTCATAAATATTTACAGTGTTACTCGCAGTTACTCTTGATCTTAAAGTGGAAATAGTGGAATATTATCTTAAAAATCCAGCATGTAACGAGTTGGCCCCGCTCAGGAAATAATTTCTTTTTAAAAACAGAAAGCACAAAAACAGGGAGTAAAAACATAATAATCATGCAGAACATAAAAGATAAAAGAAACATGTAAGAGGATGATTATGAACCAGTCGGAGGTAGTAACGGAAAACAAATTCGCAGCTTTTTAACAACTTGAGAAAACTCAGCCGAATCTGGATGGAAGGCAGTTTGAGGATATGGTATGAAAATGCCCTTTTCATGATCCCTGTGGCCTTCAAATGACCAATCCCATTAGACTGCAGCAACCATGTTGGTACATATAGCTTTACAAGGTCAGTCAGATATCCTCGTACGCTGACATTTCAAATTCTGTCAGTCAAACGGAGGCATTTGAAATGTGCTGTAAAAGTCGATGAGGAGAAGCAGGCACGGCAGAAATTGTGAGCTGAAAAGAGCAGTCGTCATAGTTTTTTTTTTAGAATTATATTTCTACTTAGTTTTTTTATGTATGATTATAGCTTTTCAACAATCTTTCAGCATTTTCAGCCAGTCTGCCAGTCAGAAGAAAGTGTGATTTTTAAAACTTTTTTTATTGAAGAGCTGTCTGCCTACATGATTAAGATGTAGTTTTATTTTTGACATTGTCTGTTACATTCATACTGCTGGAGGTTCTATGAGTATTTTCGTTTTAACATTCTATCAATGCATGATGAAATCTCTGAGCTGTTTACAATTTGATTTTATAAACACTACAAGCATTATTTTTAAATGAGTATTTTGAAGTAATAAATTCATCCCATTCCTTCGGTACCACTTTAAAAAAAATGTAGGGAGGAACAGATTGTCAAGAAAGTGTGTTTTGGACTATTTTTAGTTGATTATAGGGTGTAATTAATTTTGAATCTGCTTTTACTTACTCTTACCAGAGTAACTTTTACTTACTCTTAAAAGTGTGAACTTTGAAACTAAGACAATTGACTTGTTGCATATTTTTTGGATATTGAAAAAGGTTGACCTGTGGCTGAGGATGTTTCTTGATGTCTCGTCAGTTTCTGTCAACCTTAACTGTTGTTTGCACACACTGACCAACAATCCCAAAGCCAATGATTTACATCCTACAGCGATTAAAAAAAAAAGAAAAAGTAAAAAAACAGAGCGGGAAGTTGTGTCATCTTCAATAGTCCAACAATCAGCTAAAAACAATGTATATATATATAAAACAAAGCACTCTGTAATTCAGAGTTTTTTTCTTAAGTTAATGGCACAATAAAGACTAATCCCAGTGTTATGCCTCAGACATTGTTATTAGTTGTGACTTAGCATGATACCAATAAATATCCATGATTGACAAAACAAGACCTGTGCCTTTGTGCTCGTGAAATAAAGCGGCGATGACAACAGCATGTTAATCCGCTGCAGAAAAAGCGACTGAGCCCCATTAAATGAATTAATTTAGCATGCAACTTGTTCTTTGTGTTAGAAGCCGCCGTGCTCAGACCTTCCTAAATTATATCATAATCATGAAGTCACTTTGTGGATGAAGTCAGAGTGTAAACATCCGCCTCATCTGTTCGATGTCAGACCTTCGGAGTGTTTCCATTGTAATTCCTGGCTCTTCACTTGGCTTTCCTGGACACACACACACACACACACACAGGCGTACAAAAGATTCTTACAGATATTTCCCTATTCGATCAGTCGATGGCTTGTCAATAATCATGTGACTGCACCCTCACTTTTGACACAACGTTGCCGCGCTATTTGTGAGCACAGCGAGAGCAGCAAAGAAGGAAATGAGAGGGGAGTTGGAGTTCACTTCATATCTGACCCGTGTGCTCATTTCCTGTTCTGCTTCAGGTTGGCAACAGGCCTAGAGTAACAGGTGATCCGTGTACATGTATGTGCGTTTTTTTTTCTGGGTTTCTACGCGCTTGTGTTGCCTGTGTGTAGATGTTTGCGCGCTTCCTTTGATCGGGAGCGTGCTCTTGTACGTGAGTCTGCGTTTGACAGATCGCGCTTTGGTGAAAGACAGAGACAGGAAGTGGGTTGTATGTGGTGGAGACAGTTCACAGGAGGCCCTGTCTGGCGGCCCCCGCTCCTCCTCCTTATCCCCTAGACATGATCATAGCAGCACAACCCCTCCCCCTCTCTCTTACCCCCTTACCTGTTTTTTAGTACCCACAGCACAGTTTCTAGCACGGCTCAGACCACCCCGTTAAATATATTCCGCAGACATTTCCCCTCCCCTCTAAGTAAACAGAGATGTTCTTGTTTTCTCTCTCTACCGTATCTCCTTTTCCCTGCCAAATTCACTGGGTGTGTGCCGCAGTCATGTGTTTATCGTTGTGTAAAAGATGCTCACTGTTCTACCCTCAACAGTCATGGGTGAGACATGGACCGCTCACCATCCAGCACAATCCCTCCACTTTAGACCTATTTTTGGTGCTGCGTTTGAGGCCATTTTTAAATGCTCATAAAGAGATTTTGGAGTATGTTAATAGGTAGGAGAGTAGGTTTCAAACTTCACTGCAGCTATGCATGTAAACGCAAAGTGCTTCTGTTACAGCAGTGACAAAAGTATTAGTTAACACCTTCTAAAAGCCTCTTTGAGAGGAAACGTCGTGCCAGAACATTCTTTCGATGACAGAAGTAACATATGGGTAGCTGGCCTCATTCTACTATAGCATTTTTTTTTAAAGGGAAAAAAAAACTTTACCCTTCCAGTTTCAATTTGTGGAACTATTTGAGCTGTAAGTCACAGGGCTTCCTCTTTTTAAGGAGCAGTTTACTGCAGAGTTACACTGCCACCTGCTGTAATGTTTCTGCCCTGCCAGTCTGAACCACACAAACCACACAACTACTCTTGTTATGATACTCTTATCTGTTCCAACCATCCATGTTAAATGAACCATTATGATAAGAAAAATATATATTTTGCAACATGCATATAAATCTCCTTATTTTCTTTGTATATTGCATTGTTAGAGTTTTTTCTTTGTTTTCTTTCTTATCAGATGATTGTCACCAAGGTTTTATGTTAAAAACTTTTTTTTCTTATCTATTTTTATCAATCATTAATGTTCCATCCATCCATCCATTATCAATACCGCTTATTCCCTGTTGGGGTCGCGGGGGGAACTGGAGCCTATCCCAGTGGTCAACGGGCGAGAGGCAGGGTACACCCTGGACAGTCCGCCAGTCCATCGCAGGGCCACACACAGGACATACAAGGACAAACAACCACTCACACTCACATTCACTCCTAAGGGCAATTCCCCCAATCTCCAATCAGCCTAACATGCAGGTTTTTGGACTGTGGGAGGAAGCTGGAGAACCCGGAGAGAACCCACGCAGACACAGGGAGAACATGCAAACTCCACCCAGAAAGGTCCTGGTTCCCCCGGGATTCGAACCCAGAACCTTCTTGCTGGGAGGCGACAGTGCTAACCACCACACCACCGTGCCGCCCTCATTAATGTTCCATCAACCGAAATAATACTTCACATTTAGCAAAAGCAGCAATTTCCAGCACATACTATACCAATTGATTCATAACTTTGATGGAGCCACAGATACATGTCTCGAAACTTACTAATATTAGTACAAATCCTTGCATTTCTGCTGAATATATGCAGCCTTTTTATGGTACAAATGATGCAAATATTTAAATGAGCTGACATGTCATTATTGAAAAACCTTAAGAATATTACTCAGCCTTGATTTAAGGTCACGGTGATGTGGACTGTGAAGTTCTTTCCTCTCAGCCGTGCCTTCATGTTGACTCTTCCATCCCCTTTCTGCAGCTCCATGTCGCCGTTCAGTATTGAAAGCATACGACGCCCGCGGAGGTCAGAGTCACCGGATTCCAAAAAGAGAAGAATCCACCGATGTGACTTTGAGGGATGCAATAAAGTCTACACCAAAAGCTCACATTTAAAAGCACACCGGCGGACGCACACAGGTCAGTGAGGTCTGAGTGTAGGTGGTCAGATGTTGGGTTGTCTGTTTAGCTTCGGTACATTGTGTGTTCAGTTCGGAAAGGGTGACATTTACATACTCAGAGAGCTTGCAAATGTCTAACCCTGTTGATATTTCTGCTTGGGCCACGTTGAAAACAATTAGAGTGTCTGACTCTCTTTAAAAAGATGGCAACCTTGGACTTTATTTGAGCAAATTCCACATTAGGACGCAGGCGAGTGGACAGTGAATGGCAAAAACGTAAACAAGCCAAAATGTACATAAGCAAGCACTGGTTGTATTTGACTATTTCTTCCTGTGTGTTTTGTTTAATACGTGCATATACATTTCTAAATAATTAAATCCAACAAATCTAACTTTAGCCCAATTTCCATGCTTTGGTAGGTATTTATAAGCCATTGGTATAATACAAATTGTTATTACATTTTCGGTTAAACCTACACATGACAAGCAATATGATTTTTAAGTGGGTCGATTTAGTATTTCTGCTTCAGTCTTTCAAAATTCTGAGGTGATCCGTCATTTCAGGGCCGAGTGAACTACTGCTGTCAGAAAATGGACCTGACCCAAAGTTAAAGCTCTGCAATGATTTTCCAAAAAATGGATCTTTGAGCGGTTGACAAATGGTGGCTGTCTTTATTATGTTAATCGAAAACTGTAATAGTTTATTTTTGCTTTATAGAATGGATTGACGAAAAGTGTTAAACTGCTAAATAGATTGATTATTAAAAAGATAATTCAGCATAAAAAGTGCAGGGTGAAAGGTGACTCCAGTTATACTGTGGTATTCGTTTAACGTAGTTCCATCATTTACATACAAGTCATCATTTGGTATGTAGAACCAGGGAAAATTGACCTCCCCAGTTTCCATCCCTTCATATAATTGACATTGGAAACAATAAACATTTCTAAAGTAGATTTGACGTGTTTTGCTGAAACGTATTTGAATTCTCACCAAATCTGACTCAGCTCCAATCATGTCGGGGTTTGATGTCCATCTTTGTGACACATTTCAATAAGGCCAGGACTGAACTGCCGGCCTTTTTTTTTTGTAATGAACAGCCGACTCTGTCGCCATTCAGCTGTAAATGCAAACGTCCAGAATCAGATCTGCCCATAAATCTCCATCAATCTGCTCTGATAATACAATATAGCACACATAGGGTTAGCATGTGTGCGTGAGAATGGAGCAAAGAAGGAGGTGAACTTGCATTTGGTGATGGAACCCGAAGGTTTGACCGAGCCTTTTTTTGTGCTTCCCGGCTTGTTTTTTTCAGGGGAAAAGCCATACAAATGCACCTGGGACGGTTGCACCTGGAAGTTCGCCCGCTCGGACGAGCTGACGCGGCATTACCGAAAACACACGGGGGTGAAGCCCTTCAAGTGTGCAGACTGTGACCGCAGCTTCTCCAGATCCGACCACTTGGCCCTTCACCGGCGGAGGCACCTGCTGGTGTGAACTAGACGCACGGCGATTAAGAGAGAGGTCAACGGATCAGACACACACACACACACACACACACTTAAGCACACACATGCATACAAACACTTACACACACACACACACACAGGCAGCCAAGGGAGCGGGATCTCCTTTTGAATGTTTTTCAGCTGGCCTGGACGCCCACAGTCACTCACCAACATGCTCACACACACTTTTACACACACACACGCGTGGAAAGGAGGCGCGGACGGAGAAGGCGGACGGACGAGGATGCACAGAGTTTTGCGGAGCACAAAACAGGGTCACTTCTGGATCCTCTCTGGGTTGGAAGGAAGAGACGTCAGGATCTTTTAACGTCATCGGAGTATAATAGGGAACTGTCTGTAACAGCACTGTTCGTTAGTGTTTCACTTTGATTTTTGAAAAATGAAGTCGCACTCTTTATTTGGACGAAAGAAAGACAAAAAAAAACATCATCGCAGCGTTTTTCTTTTTACCTTTATTATTTTTTTTTTTCTCAAACAGCTGCTTTTTTTTCCAGCACACATAATGTGAAAGACCCCACTGTATGGATGGGATTTCCTGTGAGAGCAGGGAGGCGTTAGACCTGGAGCGGAACACAGGGAAGGACTTCGGCGCGGTTGGAATGATGGGATTTTATTGTTCAGTTTGATGTGCGGCCAGCAGAGGACACCGTCGAGTCACGGATGGTTTTTCTGCTGTCCGAAGCACCCCATACAAAAGCTAATAGAGCGCTGGACTTTCACCCTTTCCCACAGCCAGCAAATGATAAACGACATCCACTCAAACAGCCGCTCGTTCCACTGTAATTTAGCTCGTTTTGAAACAATAAAAAACTGGACACGCATATATCATCATACCAGCAAAGAAACACACCCCGTTTATTATTCTTTTACATGGAAACCGAAAAAGTCATAGTTCATCAGTGCTACTCTTTATGTCGAGCCTCTTGAAAGCATTTTCTTAAAAAAAAAAAGAATCTTTTGTGGATTTTGAGCTGTGATTAGCAATCAGTAAAGTGCAATCTTAAAGGTTAAATATCCTTTTAGTATGAAAACTTTTGGTTTATTGAATCTTGCTTTTTTTTTTTTTTTTTAATTGCCTGCTTATTGCTTATGTTTGACTCTGAAAAATATGACCCCTCATGTACAGAGAACTTTGAAACAATCAGAGGAGATTTCCAGTATGTGAAAACGAAAAAGAAATGAAAAAACAGAGGCACCTTAGAGACTTTTCTCTCTGTCCCTATTTATCTGTTTGTGTCATTCAGCTCATTTCTTTGCCGTGTTCAGTAGATAAAAAAGGTTTTTGTGTTGTGATTTTTGCACAGCACAACAGCACTTAACCATAAGCTGACAAAGGACGCCAGCCGAAGTGTTACATAGATCATTTCTGTACAGTACGGAAGAGCAATACACTCTGAACAAAGTGACGGGAGGGAACACCGACCCGCTTCTTTGTTCTGTTTGTTGATGTCAAAATCTGAGAATGGCTTTTCCAGCCGAGCCATTCGTTCTGTTACGGTCTGGTCTGTACAGTAGTTTCTGGTTGCAATTTCTGATGTGTCCCAGCTGGTATTTTACTTCATGCAATTGTATGCTTTCGTTTCATTTTTACAAACACATACAGTCACTTGACATGTTTTTGCCTCAGTCCAGAATTTATAAGGATCATAACCTGAGATCAGGTGATATAAAATGCTGAAAGATAAAGGACTTGCACACATGCCGAAAAAGCATACATAAAGCAGATATTGATAAGAAGTGCATATGCACTTAGTTTGATGTATATTATACATTCAAAGTAAGATTTTAGATGCAGTTACTGGCAGAAATAACTCTTTGAGAACATCCGCTAACCTTGATCAGGGAATTCAATTAAAAGTATATTTTTATAGCCCTAATAACAGGCATTTTCGCAAGTGTTTCCGGTGCTCTTTATGCTGTGTAAAAGCTTCAAACATAAACTCTGCGTATTAGGCCAACCAATGTTATTCGATAGTGCTGCCAAATGCATTTATTGGATGGAAGCCAGTAAAAAAGAAATGGTAACCTTTTTTGATTATGGTACCTGGAAATCCATATGCTCATACACTAATGCACACACAACACACACACACACACACACACACCTGCACACTTCAACACTCTGACTTTCAGTAAAACAGCCAAATCCAGGAAATGATTTTCCACACACATGCAGTGTGTCTGTGTATCCGTGTGTGTGTGTGTGTGTGTGTGTGTGTTGAGAGAGAGAAACAGAGAGAGAGACAGACCCCTGTGATGTAATGGAGAATGCTCATGTATGTTATCATTATTTATGTACCTTGTTTGTGCACATGTCATTATGCCCAGTTGTATTATCTTTTTGGCAAGAGCATATCAGCACCTTGTTTGTTTATTAGTATGGTTTTCAGATGATTTTATTTCAGATGTCAATTTATAAACAAATAATCATCATTATCATATTTTATCATCCATATAATGTATTATTAGGACATTTTATGAGTGAGGGGGCACTTCGTGATTGATTTGAATTCTTTCTCTTCTGTACAAAAAAACAAAAAAAAAGGATCATCTGAAATGTTGTAATATATGTGATAGTGAAGATGAAACCTATTACAAAGTTTTGCAGCCTGTATATACATTGGAAAAATAGGGCTTTTGATTAGTAGATGCAGGAAATACATTTATACATGTAAAGTCTTTTCAGAGACTGTAATTTATCTAATTTGATACAAAGTGAAAAGGGGCTATTGGTAATTCATCCTGTAAATTATCACGTGACGTTATGTAACAGCTATTTTTTCTGTTTACTTTTTTTTTTTTTTTGGCAAAGTCCATGATCAATTCTTTGTTTTGTTTTTTTCTAAGGCTGAACCAGTGTTTGCTATAATCAACAAATTATTTATATACATTGACCGTATTAAGGTACTCGATTCCCTGTGTTGCTGTTTTGCTATACCCGGACAAGAAATTCTACAGATCAAGCACATATCAACAACACATATACTCTTGTATTCGGTATATGGTGTTGCATGCCTTAATACACCAGTGTTTGAAAAGTCCAATTAGACTTGAAGATGGTGTCCCCACAGGACAGGGTGTATTGTATCTCCCTACTGCATCTCTTTCCTCATTTTGAAGCATAATTTTGTTACGGTAACCAGGGTCAAAGTTATGCAATAATGATGAATAGTGCCTCATATCACAAACTTGTAACATCACCTGCTCTGCTCAGAGTGTCGATTCCAACATGTGTTCTTCAATTACTACATTTCCAATGAGAGAAAAAAAAACAACCCGGGATGTTTGGTGAAAAAGCACAGACGACAATATGCAAGTCGGACCTCTAATGTCAAACTTATTCTTTTCGCACTGAGCCTTACACAGTTCCATTGTGTCGAATGCAGCACCCTCTCATCACATTTAAACCATGCTGTCGATAGCACACGCCGTTGCTTTGCTTGCAATAAGTCACCTCCTTTACAAAGGCCTCTGGTCATTTCAGTTTCAGCAGTTCAACACAGTGACTCCGTGAAGGACAATGAGGAATCCTAGATGAAGGAAATACAAATCCAGCAGTAGAGGAACACATTTCTTAATGAATACTGATCTTACGCCTTTTATCAGTTAAATGAATATTTTGCTTTTCTGTGTATCATATGCTTTTGATTTTACAGGTTTTGAAAATTTAAGTAGTGAAGCCAATGCATATGTTTCCAGTTTGCTGATATTACGTACAGTAATCGTTGTTCCTGTATTTATGTAAAGTGAGTGTAGTGTAAATATATTCAGATCTTTTCATTCTTACCGTTAGAAAAATGTGATATTTGCTCTGCGTTGCTTCAAAAGGGAGATTCTGCTCATGGAATTCCACGTCTGTACAAGAAATTTTTAATCCTGATATTTTTCAAAACTTCAAGAACAGGTGTCCTTTTTTTTTCTCTCTTACACTTTTTCTTTTTCCCAAGAGTTGTATCAAGTCAGTGTTTTGCCTTTTTCTCTGTATTTTTCATATGGATGGAGCTGTGAAATTAAAATAAGTTCAAACATATACATGTATATTAATATGAATGGAGGCATGAAGGTTAATAAAGTTGCATTTTGTATGTAACATACTTGGATGGAACTTGTTGCTATCTATGACTGTGATGAATGGCATGTGGTTTCAGTGTCACTCTGACATCTGAGGACTGTACTAAAATTCGGTGGCATTCAGTAACATGCTATGGAGATAGCCCGTTTAAATCCCAGCTAATGGACAGTATAGATGTCTGTACTCCAAGTGCGTTTGTTCATTAAAGGAAAATGATTTTCCTTGATATGCAGCAAAAAGAAATATTGGGTTCTAAATTTTTCCCACTCAGACATAATCACACGTCCATATATGTGAGACGTTTCTCAGAAAAATAACTCACTGCTTTGTAGTTGTTATCTTGTACCAACAGAGGGGTATTTTAAGGCACGGTATGCTGTAACACAGCATAAAGTGAATTCAGTTTCTGAGAACAGGTTACACTTCAGAGGAAACACCCCGAACGCTATGTACGGCATATAAAACTGGGTATAGATGAATGTTTGTGTCTGCCACAAAAGGACCAAGACGATTACAATCTGAATTAAATGACTCGAAGAACATTAAAAGAAAAACGCCTTGAGTCATTTACAACTGGTAACTTCCATTACATGCAGGGCAAGCTCAGACATCTTCGGTGGTTTGTGCAAAATCCGCTGGCACATTTGCTATGACTCATGTCCCAAGAATTCCTACAAATTATTCGCAAGCGAGGAAACAGTGTTTTACATGCACAGAATGTTTTTATGTCGGTTTTGAATGTAAAAACAAAACAAAACAGCATCTTTTAAATGGGGAAAACATTCCACCTAAATGCCACCTCTGTTCCTTTGTTTCTTCTTTCCAGCTGATGGAGATACATGTAAAATCAATTATGTTAACGGGACCAGGTATCTGAAATCCTTGTTCATGTTTGACATTTTCTTTTGTAAACTTAATCGTTTGCAGATTAAAGAGCATCAAAAGTGCGAGACCCATATTGAGCAGCATGGATCTCTGTATAAGTCCTGAGTAGAGCACCGTTATTTATATATAGCCAAGAAAAATTTGATAGCTGTTTTCACAAAAAATCTGAAGGTTATTAAGAGTTGTTCAACAAAAGAAAAAAAACACTATTTGCATGGAGAGAATTGCATGGTTTAATTTGACATCAGTTTAGATTAGACAATTATTTTCAGTTTTGACACATATCATTGTAAAACAAGTGTATATATTTAACAGTATTACAGTGACTCACTGGCATATAATGCACTGAGGTACTTTCTTTGTCAAATAAAGTAAGAGTGTACATTGCTACATTAGAAGTTTGATCCTTTATGGACTAGCAAAAAGATAAACAGTCTAGTTTTTAAAAAACTAATTGGACTTTTTTAAACCCCAAAACAATCAACTGATTTTATTTCTAAATAGTCGATACAAAATATGTACATCTTAAATTACTGAAACTTTAAAAAATCTTTTTTGTTCAACCATCTTTAAATTCTAAATAAATTTGGTCATGTCAAAGAAATTGCTATAGGTATTATACAGTTGTAGTCTTCCTGGAGGAAAATACCCCTTCTTGCATTTAAAAAAAAAAGGTCTTTCAAATGTAGTGCTCAATCAATAGAACTGGAAGTAATTAACAGGAATAAATAAGCACACAAACTGAGAACACGGAGATCTGAGCGGTGCAGCCAACCCTTTGGGACTGCTATGTTTTTGTTTTTTTCATTCATCCAGAAAAGCAGTCGAAGGCACAGTGTTGAAAACAGTCAAAGCAACTCAGTCTAAATAAAAAAAAACAACAAAAAAACTTAATCCTGATCATAAAAATCTTTTAAGTAAATGTCAACTGGCTCCAATATTGCTGTAAAGCTGAACTTAACAGACATGTGTATTAAAAAAACAAAAAAAAAATGTTTTATGTTACTATTGCATTATACAGGCCCTGAAATAATAAAAAAAAGGCAGCAATTTGATTTGTCACCTGCTCCTGCACACTCAATAACACATGCAGCAGAATAGAAGGACACGCGTTGAGCTGTCCAGATGAACTCCTTTAACACATCTTACCCAAATGATTCCTTAGGCTAGAGTGAAACTCTTAAAAAATATAGATTTTTTCTTCTTGAAATTTTGTCTTTGTGGCAAAGTATTCCCATACGTCTGGCAGTGTTAAAGTCATGCAGTGATCACTGCACTCACCACATTGGTCTCAAAGAGCCCCCGTCCCAGTATTTGACTTTTTTCTAACTGGTAGCTTTTAGAACATTCACTGTCTACCTGGTCACCACACAGGTGGACAAAAGCCCCGCCCCCTTTCCAGCTTATAGCGTACATACAGTTTGCTGTTTCAGTACATCAAGCAAATGCTTGTATCTCACTTTATCTTGCAATATGACTTTACAATGAAAGTTTTAAATACAAAATCAGTATCTATGGTTGTTTATGGTTGTATGAAAATAAAGCTTAAATTATTACACTTGGCTGTTTTTTTTTCTTTGTTGTTTTTTGTTTTACTATGACAATATCCCCCAATAGTGATCCATTTGTGTGGAGGTAAACTAAGGCAACAATAACATTGAATATGAACACAATTTAAAAAAAAAAAAGAAAAAGAAAAGTGGTGGTCCTGCACTTTCAAGCGTGGCACCACTGAATCGGAGAGCCCGATTCAAAGTTCTTACTTGAAACATTTGTGCCAGATATTTGTTGGCGGATCGACCGGATGGGTTTTTTTGGGGGGCGGGGGGGCCTCTAGCTCTGGTGTCTCTTCATGTGAAGGGACAGGTGATCGGAGCGGGAGAAGCAGCGGCTGCACACCCCGCACTTGAAGGGCTTGGCGCCGGTGTGTTTCCTGAAGTGGCGCGTCAGCTCGTCGGAGCGGGCGAAGCGCCACTCGCACCCCCCCCCAGGAGCACTGGTACGGCTTCTCCCCTTCAGCAAACACAGATCGCAAAGGCAAGCATTAGTGGGCAAGCAGAAGATTTTTTTTGGTAGATGTTTCCTGAATAAAAGGTCATACAAAGGGCCAATCAAAATAATTTGTTTATGTTAATGTTTATGCAATTTGGCAGACGCTTTTATCCAGAGCGACTTACAGAGTAGACAAAATATTACATTTCTCATCACATTGACAATAAGCTATATAGAGGAGAAACACTGATCAGAGTCAGTGGTGACAGCAAGAGATAGAGGTAGAGGGGACCACAGAAGGAGTTGTGCGGGGGGTAGAGGCACGGGTTAGGATTAGGATAGGAAACTAGCTTTATTCATACTACGTTTTAATAACGAAAAGTCCTATAGCACTCCTGCGTGAGCTGCGAATCACAGTCTTAATGCCTGACCCCCTTTTTATGAGAGCTTCTGGGTTATGGGATTTGACTGGAAACATCCCCATTTTCAACAGATGAAATGGGCAACCCTTAACATCTTACCTGTGTGGGTCCTCAGGTGGGCCTTCAAATGAGAGGACTTGGTGTACACCTTCTTGCAACCTGAAAAAGACAGGGAATCATAAGATCTTTGCGTTATGTCAAGGATAGATATTCGATTTCGGGCTTGGATTTGCGAAGAGGGCCTCACCTGGGACGTCGCAATGGTGAATCCTCCGTCTTTCCAGATCGGGGTTACTCCTCCGGTTGTACTTCGCTGAGGCCGACTGGGCCATCCCGGGGGACAGCGGCCCGGCGCCAATGGCCAACTCAACCGACGTCTGACCGGGACGCCGGACTGACCTGGAACCTGGACTTTGGACGAACCCGGCGGTGTAATCTCGGTCTTGGCTTTGAGTGGCGTCGCAGGTCTGGAAAATGAACTTGGAGGCCACGACGGCTTCGTATGGGGGAGGCGGGGAGAGGTTGTGGAAGAGCTCTTTGCTCCTGTCCGGACTGGAGGGCTCAGAGTTGGGCGGGGAGGGCGGCAGGTAGGTGGACCTGAGCTGCTGACCCAGGTGCTGGTTAAAACCGAAGCATTCGCTCTGCATCGGGTTTGCGTGAACGACGGGGACGGAGCTCATCGGCGACTCGTGAGCCAGCTGCTCGAAATCCGAGTTCAAAAGCTGGAACTGGGGAAGGTCCTGGAAATCGGGCGCTTCCTGTTTGACGAAAAACCCGCCGCTGGCCGTGTCGTTAGAGACTGTAGGCTGTAGTCCACCCACCTGACAGCTGGGGTGCACCTGGGGGTGGGAGGGCTCCGTCTTGATCGGCCTGGTGGTCCTGCAGAGGCCCGGCTGCAGGTACGCGACGTCGGGAAGGAGCAAGCTCATGTTGACGCTGTACGGGGAGGCCAGGTCCTCCGTAAAAGGCGGATCCGGCATGAGGGCGCCGTCCCTGGACAGCATTTTAGAACCGACCACGTCCTGTGGGTGCAGACACAAGTAGTTGTCCATCACTGATTTAGTCTGAGGGGCACAACGGAGGACAAATCATTACGGGACACGGGTACAAAACTTGCAATTAAAGCAACGCAGAATGAAAACCAGCACAAAATGCATGCTATGCTATTCATTTTTTTATCCTGGTCTTTGACTATACGAATACATAAATGAATTATCATTCAAATATCACCTTCAAAAGAAAATGGGGTTCATGAATTTGGGAATGCATCTGGGGCCTACCTGCACAGGCTGCTCTGTTACATCTAAGACACCAAAGCACCTTCCCTTCCTCCTTCACAAGCATCCTCTCTGATGCGATTTAACCAGGTTGGAAATACTCGGCTGACGTAAGAAAATCCACTCGCCCTGCAGCGCCATGCCTCCCTCTTACAAGTTTCGGGAGCCGGTTTCACACATCCCCCTGCTGCCGTGATCCGCTTCTGCTCGCGGTTCAGTCAGAGAAAGTGGACCCCAACAGATTGTTGTTTTTATTTCTCTAAAAGCACTGGTTTCCGATCGGTGGATGCGGGCCTGCGTTAAACCACAGCCCGTCATACCTTTAAAGTGAAAACGGGGGTCTGTTCTGCTTTGGTCAGCAACATGCCCTGCAACCCCCTTCCTCCCCCACCTCCTCTTCCTCCTCATCCTCCTCCTCCTCCCCGGACATCGCTGCAAACTGCGATACCGCGCTGCACGGATGGACAAAAAAAAAGAAAGAAACAAAAAAAATCATAATCACACCTTACCAAATCATAACCGTGGAAACAGGAAGCTTCCGGGACGGCATCCCTGAGGACTTGTCCGTGATCCTGAGCCCTCCGGCCGTCAGCTGTCAGCCGGGGCGCGTCCTGTCCCGGAGCAAGCCACGCGCTATTCCTCACGGCGGCGGCCATAAGAGCGGGAGATAACCGTCCAAACTGTCCGAGATGCTTTGACGAACGCACTCGGGCATACGGATTTTTCTTTTGTTGTCGAAAACAAACCCAGTTACGCGCAGCTGTCAGACGCGCGTTCCCTCTCCCGTTTTTTGCGCTGGCTCGTTAAATTACGCAACTGCGCGATAGCGGCGCGTCCGCAGGGCGGGGCCGGGACAAGTACAAAATAAACAGGGCAACCAGCCGGGCGGGATACACACACACACCTAGTGTCACGAATGCTGCGGTTGAGTGATTAAAGTCACGATGAGAGACTGGCGTGAAAGCGTAAACACGCAGAGACGACGTTTCTCAGAGAGCGCTTCGTTTTTTTTATGTGCGCAGGTTTGCTCACGGGCACGATCCGTGGCACCTTGAAACTGCAAAAGGTGTGAGATGCATGGGTTTACACCAGACAGAACATTTTAGCATCACAGATGGAGAATTGAAGTCATGTCTATGACACAAATCAAGTTGAGCAATCTGCCAACAAACAATCAAATAGGCGCATTTTCCCCCCATTTTCACTTAGTCTTTATTTATGTATGTATGTATTCTTTTTTTTTTTTTTTTTTTTTTTTGGTAGGCCAAGCTTGCATCCTGGTCTGGCATGTTAAAAACGCCACTGCGGTGCAGCTGTCTGTCAGGACTGCACACTTGATGCCAACATTCCTGAGCCAGAAAGGAAGCCTGCTCCAACACAGTAAAACGGGCAGGGAAGGCTTCCCCGAAACCCAGCAATCGTTTTAACACCAATAAACGCTGCTCAGGTTTCGACCTCCCATTTTTATGTTTGGGCCACCGGGTATTTGAACTTTGACCTGTCGGATCTCCTCGACGCACACTCACTTTGTCCTGATAACCAAACTGGCACATGAATGGTGTTAAAGGGCTCAGCAGAGTAAAACAGTTATTTTATCAACCTGAATCCCTCTCGGGATCAAGGAGTTGGAGCCTCACCCCACAGTTTGACCGATCAGAATGGGCTGACCTCGGCCTAAGAGTGAAGAATTACTTAAAGCTGGAAGTGTGTGACACAGGGTTGGCACACAGTACATACCTAAGCATAAAAACACAGTCTGTGTCACAGTCAGCATCGGGATAAATATTTTTCTTTGTATTGGAGTGACATTTATTCTTCCACTCCCACCCACGCGCTCCTTCGGGCTTTTCTTGTTCTGTCATTAAAAGGCTGTTACGACACCCACCGCTAGCTTGACTGAACCCGTTTTCAGTGCAGCTGGAAGTTGTGAAGGGTGATATTCGTGGAAATGCATGTTTGTGTGGATTGTGGGAGGGGGAGGAGTCTGGTTACCTCACAACCCTACATTCAAATTGTTGTCCTACAAAAAAAAAACTAATTCACTCATGCACTTTTAAAAAGTAAACAACATTACATTGTTTTTAAGGCTTGTTGGCGTTTTTATCTGTCATAAGAGTTGTTTGAATTAGAAATGGTGTAGAATTAGTTATTTCTTTAAAGAATAAATGCATTTAACAAGAGTTGTTTGAATTAGAAGTGGTGTAGAATTAGTTATTTCTTTAAAGAATAAATGCATTTAAACTAATCCTGGCAACTCTGAGCTCTTGACAAGAGTACCCAAACATATTGAGGAATAGCGGATTAAAGAATAAAACGAGATTAAAGCAAAAAATGTGCTCAGGACGCAATTATCCATCTAAAAACTGGTGGATTGCATAAACTTTGGGTGGGTTTTTTGCACCTGTGTGCTGCTATCTCTGTCTCTGCCTCTCCACCTTCACTTTTTCTAAGATCTTTTCAGAAGATGAGATTTCAGCTCCCTGCAAAAGGTTATCTATGAAATGTAGGTCTGGAGGTGTCGCCAGTCGGAGTAAAATAGGTCATTGTTTTTTGTTCTTTGCTTTGGGTCATTGTCCCGAAAAGACTCCAGCTATTCTCTTTGAACAAAGCCTTGAGACACATGGTCACACATTTTTCCCCTGCAATGTCTTGGTAATCTTTTGATTTCATCATTCCTTTTATGCAGTCAATCCCTCCAGTTCCAGAGGCCCTAAAGCAGCTTCACCGCTTGAAAGAATTTAGTCTATGTTTTATAGTCAGAAAGGTTTTTTTTCTCTCAGTGGTTTCATTTAAACGAACGCCTCGCATTGCCTAAAAGCTTCAAGTCAGTCGTTTCTGAATACAGTATTTTCCCAAAAAAGCCTGTTTGCTTTTGTACTTTTGGTAACGGTGTCCTGTTTGGTTTGGTGTGCAGTGGTTGTTATGAATAGAAAGCAGTACCCCAGATCAGTCCTCTTCGGCCTAAATGTATTTAGGTGCTCCGAAATTAGCATATTTTCTCTTTTTTTATTATTCCTTTAGGCAAACATGCCTTGTTCTATGATCTTGGAACATCTACAAAATTGACTGCGGTTCTTTTGTCTTCAGTTTTAACAAAAGAAACAATCACGTTTTCGTCCCCTATACAATACTTATTTGAAGTCAAATAGAATTTGAAATGGAACGCTCAATTTTTTATTCGGTTTTTATATTGTTTCAATAAATTGTTTAAATCAAACTGTTAAAAGAAATCCAAATACGGTGTATGTGTTTGAAAAAGTGCACATATTCATATTTTTCATGATACAGCACAAGCCATCCTTATGACAGTAGATCATTCAGTTGGGAGCTGACCAGTTGCCTGTCATGTGCTGACCTTTTAAAGTGCAATTTAAATCCATGGATGTCCCAACTCCAACAGGAGCAACTGTCATTCTTGGCCGTGGTTCTTCCTGTACAGCGAATGTGAGTCGAGCCCTTCTCAATATCCCCTCCGTATTAAAAACCTCACAATATGCCCAACAACTGCAGATCGGAGGAGAGAGAATGCCCGGTATGTGCTTACAGCATCACAACTCATCTGTCCACTCGCATGGACTAATATGGCCAGACTGGCAGCGGATTGGACAGCGAAGAACGTCCGGCGCGTTGTAAACGAGTGTCCATTTCAATTAAAAAGGGGGAAATAACTCGATGAGGATCTGGTTAATTGTTTAGTTTTTTTGCTTTGTTTGTGAAGACATTAGGATTCAGAGTGGATTTATGTTTGGGTCTTTTGTTTTCCCCAAATGAATTTTAAATTTGTGATATTTGTGATACAGATGGATATAAGGTAGGATCTAAATTTAAGCAGGTGCCCACCAGAGGGCAATGGTCAGCTACAGTAGAGCTTCTGTCTGTGCTTGTACCATAAAAAAAGGTAAAATTGTTGTTTGTCCTTTCCAGTTTTGGGTTCTTTATAATTACCCTCTATAACTAGTAATTCTAAAGAGCAACTGGATGCTATTTAATTCAGCTTAGTGAGCCTTGTTGTGTTTCCCTCCAAAAGAATGGGCTTGTAATCTCAATGTCCTTTTTCCAACACAAACTAATTCATTTCAAAAGAGTCTTTATTTCAAATATATATTTAAATCTGGTCTTAAGGTTTAATTCAAGGGCAGTTATATCTCCAAACCTGTATTCTCTTTAAAACATCAAGTGGGCACTCAGCATAATAATTAATTTGATGTCAGTTTTACAAAGCCTGCCCTTGGAAAAATGCAATCAATAATTTCTTCTTTGACTTTATTGTTTTGTCTCAAGTTTGGCTGTGTTACAAGCCCGGCTTGTTGACTCTGCACCGCATTTATCTGATCTGACGCAGTTTCATTAGGCATTAGTAATCATTTCCATAGCACACAACATTAGAGTACTCCTGTTTGTAAAACAGCAGATGAGGCTAATGCCGTCCTCTGGGGAGAAATTCAATATAATTTGTTAATTAAATGGAATAATTTAATTACAGTAACTTAGAAAGCATTCATCAATATAATTGTTTCTGGAGCCACCATTATAATTGAGGTTTAAGTGAAAACAAGTCCGTTTCTAATGTTGGTAATGTGCTGACATAGTTCTCCCACACTCCATTTGTTCCTCTCTCTGATCTTCCACCATGCCGTTTTCTCCACAGTGTTTTCGTTTGATAGCCGGCCATACCGCATCAGCAAGACCAAAACATTTATTACAGCCATTTAATTTAACCTCTCTACAGGCATGGACAAGAAGACAGAGACGATAGCGGAGCTGCACTGAAAGACTCTCGCTGTTCGCCTTCTAATCTGATCCTCTCTGTTGCCCTTTCATAAAGACGCCGGAGTATTACCCGGACTCCAAACATACCTATGCCATTTAAACTGTCTAAGATTTCACCGCCAAGACGGCCAAATAGAGTCCGATTCATTCTCCAGGGCCCGAATAATAAAACATAATTTTGCTCTAATCTGCCTCAAGAATGTCCCCTGTTTGAAGTTGACAGTGCTCTATCTTCTGGGGGGAATAATTGCCTTTTGAGTACGGCGGCGGAGGCCACTGGGGTAAGCCTGGCCAGGGCCCGCACCTTACAGGTGTGTCCTTGGACAGACAGCCTCTTCGTTGTTCTGGAGAGGCTGAGTGAGATGGTGGGGGGGAAAGAAGGGGGTGGAGGGGGTGGATGGGTCAGACTGAAAGAATTCATCTGCCAGTTGAAACTTTACAAGGCAGCCGCACATCAGCAGGACACCACCCGCTCTCAGATCGCTGTGTGGCCGATGGGGGGGGGGGTGGACAAAGGGGACTCTGATCCCCCCGGTTAATGCCTGCTGCAAGCCACGGCCGACAAAGTCTTGTCAGGAAAGTTTTTATCGTGCTGTTTTGTGGAATTGACCTGCTTGTAATCTGTTCAATTTCGAGTGGCGAAGTTATTGTGACGGTTATTGTGCTGAAACGTGAGGAACCTCCTTCCTTATGGTCCTCGGTGGGCTTCCAGAGACCCCATTTTCAACAGGCCAGCTGGGTTTTGGCGTCCAGTCGCTGACGCGGCCACTGATTATGACATTAAGCATTAATTTCCCAATCGTTGTTGGTTAAAACGCGGCTATTTATCAGTTACGCGGGAATGCTTATTTTGAAGTTAATCGAACTGAGACAAGCGGGATCTCCG